AAAACATAATAAATACAATAAGTACAATAAATTAAATTTAAAATTTTCAATAATAGTAGTTTAATCTCCAATAATTATTAAAAGTTTTTTGTTAAATAGCAAAACAAAATAAATTTATACATAATCATTGAAAATACATTTATCACAAAAAAACAAAAAATAATTACTGAAATACAATAAATATTAACTTGAGTATATATAATTATATAATAAATACAGATTAAGAGCTTAAAATTATTATAAATTAATATTATTTTTTGAAAGTTATTTTCTTGAATTATTACTTGATATAATTTAAACTAGTTATTTACAATATTATGTAAAAATATTAAATTATTATTAATTTCAATATTATTTTTCTAATTTTTAGGATTTTTTTTTAAATTCATTACATAACTTCATTATTTTAACTATTTAAAATCTAGTTATGTTAAATATTTTTGTATTTAAAAAATTTATTTATTTAAATAGTTAAATAATATGTAAAATATTTAAACTTTAAAATATGAATTATTTATTGAATTTAATTATCCATAAAATCATAATTTATACTTTTATTACATAATTTCATTATTAATTTTGTAATATATTAAATTATTATTAATTTCAGTATTAAATATTTTTCTACTTTGAACAAATTTTTTAAATTTGTTACATAATTTCGTTAATTTAACTATTTAAAATCTAGTTATGATAAATATTTGGTTATTTAAATATTTAAATAATATACAAAATATTTAAAATATTTTGTTATTTGAATTTTATTTATTTAAATCTATTACATTTTATTAAATAATTAAAAAACATTTAAGTTGATAGTCCGAAAAAACATAATTTAAATTGTTAGTACATAATTTCGTGATATATTTTGTAAAAATATAAAATTAATTTTTGTGTTTGTAATAAATATTTTAAAATTATTATATAATTTTGTTAGGATATTTAAATAATTCTTAATTTTTTTTTAATATAAGCTTTCTTTAGATAGATATAGATAAAAAGTAGGGGAGATGATAAATAGGAATTAGAGATAATTTAGGAGAGAAACTCTCTACTAAAAAAGTAAATAACATGGAATAAAAAAAGTAAAAATGGAGAAAAAAGGAGAAAATTTCTTGACCACTTATATATATATATATATATGCACGCTTGAAATTGGGGAAAAAAGTTGGTTGCTTTTAATTTCTTTGTTAGTTCAGTAATAGGGATATTATTATCTTTTTTTTTCAAAAATACTTATTATAATCGGCTCCATTAGGTTGGACCCAATTATCTTCGGTTCTTGGGATAATATTTAGTTTTTTTAACTAAATATTCAAAATCTTAATCTAGGTATTATAATTGAAAGTTATTCAGTAAATATTTAAAATATATTATTAATTGATTTAAAATATTACTTTTAATATTTTCTTATTTAATATATTTAGTTATTAAAATATTTAAATAATATTTCATTTTTAGTGTGATATTTTTATTGTTTGAATAACATTTATATTGAATAATCCAAAAAAGCATAATTTATATTGTTTGTACATAATTTCGTGATGAATTTTGTAAAAATATATAATTATTAATAATATGAATATTATTAAATCGGTTATAATTATTTTTGTCTTTTTAATAAATATTTTAAAGTTATTATATAATTTTGTTAAGATATTTAAATAATTCTTAAATTTTTTAATTCAATCTTTCTTTAGATAGATGTAGATAAAAAGTGGGGAGAAGATAAATAAGAATTAGAGATAATTTAGAAGAGAAACTATCTATTAAATTAGAGATAACTTAAGAGAAAGTTTGGGATAGTGGGGGGAGTTTGTTTAGGAGAAATTTTAGGATATTAGATTATTTAGGTCATTGGAATGTGTGTGGGGGAGAGAGAGAGAGAGAGGGGGGTTTAGGAAGATTTTTTTTGAAAAAGTAGAGTTTCTAATTGGTGGTTTAAAAAATGACATGGATTAGAAAAATTAAAAAATTCAAAGAAAGGAGAAAATTTCTACACTTCCTTGTATATATATATATTAAATTATTTTCAATATTATGTTATAATTGTTTTTCTACTTTGAAGAAATTCTTTAAATTTATTACATAATTCCATTATTTTAACTATTTAAAATCTAGTTATGATTAATATTTAAATAATCTATAAAATATTTAAAATTGTTTGTTATTTGAATTTTATTTACTTAAAGCTATTACATATTATTAAATATTTGAAAAACATTTAAATTGATAATCCAAAAAAAGATAATTCAAATTATAAGTACATAATTTCGTGATATATTTTGTAAAAATATAAAATTATTTTGTGTTTTTAATAAATATTTTAAAGTTATTATATAATTTTGTTATAATATTTAAATAATTCTTAAATTTTTTAATCCAAATTTTCTTTAGATAGATATAGATAAAAAGTAGGGAAGAGGATAAATAAGAATTAGAAATAATTTAGGAGAGAAACTCTCTACTAAATTAGAGATAATTTTGGATATATATATATATATATAAAGTTGGTTGCTTTTAATTTCTTTGTTAGTTCAGTAATAGAGATATTATTATCTTTTTTTATTCAAAAGTAATTATAATTGGCTCCATCAGATTGGACCCAATTATCGCAAGAACCGATCAGTTCGGTTCTGGGTCCCAAATTATAGACCTATAGGGTCTGGGTTGGTTCCGGGTCCATGAGTTTTTTTGTTGGTTCGGGAATGGTTCTACTAGGTTCCAACCCAGAACCGACCTGTTGACAGTCCTAGAAAAATGATTAGATGCATCCATCAGGGGTATTTCTAGGTTTTTCATTTTTAAAGGTCACAGATTTATAACCAGAGATGGATTAAATAAAGTAATTGCAAAATATAGGGGGTGTTTTAGTAATACACAGACTATAGGGGTGTATTAGTAAATGCAAGAAATTATAGGGAGTATCTAAGTAAATGACCCATTTAGATATCTTCCAATGTTTTGTTCTGGTGGGAACGCTTTCTTTGCGGGATAGACAAGTGGCAAGATATTGAGGTGTACCTCAACTATTGGACAATTGGACTGAAACAGAATGTACCTTCAACCTTTGTGTATACGTACCTAACATATTTCGGCTATTGACGCTGGTTTCTTCTTGTGGTTCTGGGTCCAATTATGATCCCAAAAATCATATCATATCTAAAACCTCTGCTACTGCCACGTGTACAGCAGTTATCTGAGTTATTTAAGTAACCGGTAATTATATTTTTTATATGTTAATTAAAATTTAATACTTTAACGTATCCGTTAATCTCTAATCTTCCGTTACTCATTCTTATATCCTTCGAGTTCCCTCTTCTGGTCAACTTCTTCGAGCTCCCTCTTCTGGTTGAACTTCAAGGGAACAAATTTGCTCTGAAAAAAATTTACATGTTTTTTGGCCTAAAGATCAATGGCTAATTCATTCTTAAGAAGTTTTGCCCTTTGATATCAGGTTCAAACATTTTTAGCTGAACAAATGGGTACTTAAATTATTCAGTATTTGATCATGACAAGTTTCATCCTAAAGGGTATAGGTACTAATGAATTTCTGTTCTGTAAACTTACTGCACATTAACAAAGTATGAATTGAAGTTTGACAACTGCATGAAATTGACATTAAACGAGCAATGGAATTCATTTCCAAGCTGCCAAAAAGCAACCCTAAGAATCAAGAATCAACCTACAAATATACATGCATTCCAAATTTCTTTTTCATTAATTCCACCAATACCTCGTTGTGTAGATCCCTGCTGCAAGTTCTGTCACTCCAGCACTTATTCTGATCTGTCAATATGGCCGCAAGCCACCTACAAGAGAACAAGACTCTTGATTCCCACTCCAACATATACACAAATGCAGAGAAGAGTGATCTAATGACACTGTCTAGTGAATGAGATAACAAACCTAGAAATGTGTTTGCCGTTGCCGGTTGGTGTCGTCCATGAAAAACATAAAGAAAATCAAATATGATATCGAATACAGAGAGAGAAGGAGAGAAAGAGGAGATAGAGATTTACCGGTGGTTAGATGTCGCCGCTGGTTCCATCCTCGCCGGTGATGTGAAGTTTGAGTAAGAGAGAGAGAGATGACTGTGGGAGAGATTCACCCGAGGAGGGAGAATGAACGGAAAGACGTTAATGTCTTTATTATTTGAAATGAATTTCTTTTTTTGAAATGTGATTTTAATTATTGTTGAAACCGGTTACCTACGATACCCTGTATTTATCGAAACAGAAAGTCGAAGGTGATTGGTCCATCTCATCCCATCCGATATGATATGGAAAAGATACTTTTTCCCCTTCTAGTGGCACAACCTTCGTTCCCAATGATACTGTGATTTATAGGGTTTGTTGGAGATTTTTTTCTTTTTTAATTTAATATTATTGAGGAGCAGACTCTTGTGAAATTTTCGGAGAATTCAAAAGAAAGTGTAGAGAATTAATGGCCACGCGGCCCACATTTAGCAGAATTCAATGAAAGTAGAATAGCAAAAAAAAAAAAAAAAAGATTAGTTCCTGGAATTATCGATATATTGCAATAAAGTCTGCTGCTGGGTTGCTCCTTATATATGTTGAAGACTACGAACTTCCCAAATTAATCTCTTTTGCGTCTCCCATCTGTCGACAGTTTTAATGCGTTGTGACGAGAATTAATCTTCTTTGTTCAAGCCACGCAGTCTCTAACCTTGACCCTTGATAAAATGAAGGCCTCTCTTGCAGTGTTGCTTTAGTAAGATGGGAGATTAAGAAAATGTTGACACATTAAAACTGCTGATTGTTCACATCTTCCATTAAGAAAATAGGCTACTTAAGAAACAAATGTATTCGCTGGATTTCATGGACGATAAGGATCGTCGGAATGAACAAAAATATGGAAACAGAGAAATTGAATACCCTGTTGAAGTGTGAAGCTGTGAAGACAACCATTTTCCTGGAACATTAAGTATTGTTAACCACAGCTTATTATTATCATTATTATTATAAGGGAAGCCAACACATGAAAATAGATCCTTTTGATTAGATCAGGCTGGCATATACAGCTTCTCTACACTAAAATTGGACCAGTAACTTGCTAATTAAACAAATAAAACATACTCTGGGTGTCATGACACCATCTTTAAGAAGAAAATGTATAGACAAAATGAAAAGATTTCACTAATTCATGTGGCCTACATGTTCTACGCTAACATAAATGGTGCATCCATTACTCTTCCTTTGTTCTGACACATGCACAAAATGGAGGCTTCTTTCTCTTGGTGTTATTTTGTCCACTACTACCACCACCATAGAGATAGTCCCTCAAGAGAACTCTCACTTTTCTGTCACCAGGTCTAGTTTTTCCTTTGCTTCCCTTTTCCTCATCAAGCTTCAATAAAAGGAAATGGATTTTTTGCAACTCCAACTGCAACCTGCCAATCTTTTCGGATCCTCGCCGTGCCTGTTCCGTAATTCTCCTCCTCCGGGTCTTAGCTGTCTCTTCCAATTCTGTCACAGCTTTACCATCTGAAGATAATAGGCTCTCCTCAGCATTCTTCATCAATTTTGCATTCATGTCAACCAGCTGCATGATGGTCTCATCAATGCCTTGTAACTGTTCCTTCACATTATCATATTCAGTGCCCTTTGAATTCTTGCTCTTTACAGACATCTCTGCCTTCTTTTTCATTTCTTCCACAGTTATTTGAAGATTTGTCAACTTCTGGGCATCAGAAGCAAGTCTCTCCAAGATTTTCCTCTTGTTCCCTTCTTGACGTGTCTCTGTTGTTTTCTTGGATACCTCTAGCTTGTCCACACCCAACTCCTTCTCTACCTGCAACTCTGAGGATGGATACTCACTCTTTTGATCATCCACTGTTTCAACTTGATGGCACTCTGTGTTAGCCTGCATAGAAGATACTGGTTTGGGTATCAGTTTGACTGTTGGGTCGAAGCTAGAGTCCCGTTCAGCAGTTTCCCATAACTCAAGCATCTCATCATCTGTCTCACCATTTCCTCTCTTGCTTGTCCCATATGAGCCAATTCCATGATCATAGGATGAACACTCAGAAACCTGATCAAGTGGAATATCTCTCATTGTAAGCCCATCCTTGACATTAGAAATTTCAAGTTCAGTTATCTGTAGCCTAGCATCATTACTGCCATCCTGTGTACTCTCTTGTGGCTGCATTGGAGCATCTTTTGTTGATAGATCCTTTTCTTCAGGGGGGATGCTTTCTGATTTTAATTCTTCATCCTCTTTCATTTCTGCTAATAGTTCAGCTTTTGTGTTTGAGCTTTCCAAAAACACAAGCCTTTCCATTTCTATCATAGCCTTTTCAATTGCCTTAACCTTAATCTGCAACTCTTGCAAGCCTGAAACTCCTTCTGGCACAGCAGCACTATGATCTTCATTCAACTCTTCATGGCTTTTCTCATGTATCTGGGTTGTGAGTGAAGCATCCTGGAAAATATTGTATACTAGTAAGCATGGGTATCAGAAAAGATAAATTTTACTAATCTCTAAAGTATCCAGCAAATGGGAGCATAGATAGGTATCAATCCTTCGGAGTGCATGAAGTAAAAAGCTCTGAAGTTTTGGACTGCTGATGAACTGTGCACAATACATTGATGCATTTGTGCACATCATCGTATAATCAGTTTACAATAAATTAGAATAATTGTTTTAAGAAATAATGTTATTTTATAAGAGATTACAACTTTTATTGGGTTTAGGTAGCTTGGGGCAACAGGGGGNTTGTGGGGCACTGGGGCTGATGCATGGGGTGCAGTTCTTAGGCACTTAAATGAGTTTACTCTCATACATTACATGCAAAATATTAAAAATGTATGTTTCTTCCTTTTTATTTAATCTATTTAGCACATTACATGTCCAGGAAAAAAAGTTTTTTTTCAGTTTTCCATGTAGCCAGACAAAAGCAATACTAAATCAGACAGGTTTGAACAAGCAACAGAATTTTATGCGTTGAGTTCAAAATGGTAAAGATGAAAATAGGTGGTTATTCCTTTACGCAAGCAGCATTATCTGCATATAATGGCTAATGATTTGAGAGGGAACCTTTTTATGGTTTGGCCCTTCCAGGCTAACAGTTTGAAACTTTGAATGATATTTTCTGCATGTCTGTACTACAGTTTTTCTTTCCTTTTTTTTTTTGTGTGTGTGCTTCAAGACTCAACAAGGAAATCTAGTCAGATGCACTTGGCCAGTCAAATACTTTGACGACATGACCAGAAACAATGGTCCCTCTGGTTGAAAATACCTTTCAGTATTTTTCCAAATCAAACATTGACTTAAGACTCCAATCATTCATTGAGGCTGAATCAAGTTTTCTCAAAGGATAAAAACATGTCAAGCTTTTTTCGATACATATATCCAAAGCTTCTAAGAGCCCATATTATGTATTATGTACAGATCAGGAAAAAATCAACTACATGAAGCATGGTCTCAATTTGCTAATATGAACATTTATTATTATATATGAACGAGGAATGTAGCATACCTTTGGTTCCTGACCATCAGCCATGAGAGTCTTTGTCCATGAAACAGCATGGTCTTCAAGAGATGTTATGCTATCTCTCAAAGAAGTCATGACAGGCAAATATGCAGCCAACTCGGCTTTCAGTCCTCCATTTTGATTTTCCAAGACATCAAGTCTTTCTTTTAGCAGTTCATTCTCCATGGCTTTTGAAGAACTTTCATTTTCAAAGGTCTCACATGCTCCAATAAGCTCATGAACCTTCTCTCTAAACAGGGCTTCATGGACACTAGAAATTTGCAGGTCACCATAGAGTGTTGCAGTTTCAGCCTCCTGGAATTTGACTTCATCTTTTCTCTCTTGCAGCTCCTGACTCACAATCTCTTCTCTGGTTCTGAGTTCAATGAGTTCTCCATGTAATCTACCCACATCAGACTCCAACTTATTATTTGCTTCACAAAGGCTCACTATTTCCTTGTTTTGATGGGTTTTATCTGTGGAAAGTTCAAGAATACACTTTTGTAGCTCTTCAATTACAACCTTTGTCTCATCCTGCTTCCTCTTCAGACCCTCAATATCCCTATGTAACTCTGCATTCTCACTCTGTGCAATCTTGAGCTTCTGCTCTGCATCTGAAAGCATCATTTCCTTCTGAGAAAGTAGATCCTTTTCTGTTGCAATTTGATGATTCAACACGTCACTTGCATTCTTGACTTTGTTCAGCTCAATCTCCAACTTCTCAATTGATTCCTTGAGATGTAAATTTTCTTTTTCTACAATTTGCAAATTATTTGCCACTTCTCTAACCTCCTTTTCAAGGCCTTTGTTAACCCCAGTAAGACAGTCCAGATCTTCATTAATCTCTTTTAGCTCCATAGCTTTCTCAGTGCCAAAGGCCTCAAAAATCAAAGAAAGGTTACCCAAAGACATTGCTTCATGGACGACAACACTATTTTCCTCTTCTAGAATGCACATCTCAGCCTTCAACTCTGATAATTCCTCCCTCAAGGATCGGTTTCCTTCAAGCAACTGCAAATTTTCATTTTGCAACCCCAGGTAAGAATCCTCTAAACCTGTTAATTTTGCCTGTAGACTCTCAATTTCAGCCTTCAGCACTCCCTCCTGGTGGTTCTTTGACTTCACTTCCAATTCCAACTTGCTATTCATCTCTAGAAGCTGAATGTCCAATTTCTCAACTGATTGCTTCAGATGTAAATTTTCTTTTTCTACAATTTGCAGCTTCTCTGTCATTTCTTTAACCTCCTTTTCAAGGCCACTTCTAACCGCAGTAAGATGGTCCATATCTTCATAAAGCCCTTTAAGCTCCACAGCTTTCTCAGTGCCAAAAACCTTGAAAATCAAAGAGAGGTTACCCAGAGCCATTGCTTCATGGAGAACAACACTGTTCTCCTCCTCAAGCATGCACATATCATCCTTCAGATCTGACAACTCCTTTCTCAAAGATTTATTTCCTTCAAGCAACTTGAAATTTTCATTCTGCAGTCCTAGGTAAGCATCTTGTAAACCTAACAGTTTTACCTGTAGGCTCTCAATTTCAGTCTTTAGTATTTCCTCCTGGTGGTTCTTTGACTTCACTTCCAATTCCAATTTTCTATTCATCTCTTGGAGCTTGTGTCTCTCATTTTTCAGAAACAATAGCTCCTCTGATTTGATTCTGAACTCCTGATCAATGGCATTTCTTTCTGATTCAAGATCTGCTGCATCTAATCTCAGTTGCCCTAGGAGAGTTACAAAAACTGATTTCTCAAATAGAAACTGTTGCTTCTCATCCTCAGCTTGCAGAAGAGAAATTTTCAAATTTCCAATTCTTTCCAAAATATGCTTCAGAAGCATGTGGTCCTCTTTGATCATGTCTTGACACCTATAATCTGGATCAATTTCAAGTGACATCAAGACCTGATGAATCCCCGTTCTGAGCTTCTCAATTTGGTCAAACAAAAACTTTGTTTCCGCCTTAAGTTTGAGTTTTTCTTGCTCCAATACAGAAATCAAATTATCTGACAACTTGCATGCCTCAAAGTATTTCTGACATTCAAGCAACAAAGAGAAATTCTTTTCTTCCATATCCCGAATAAATCTCTGCAAGATGAAGACCTCAACCTGAGCATTCATGGATTTATCTAGCTCTTCTTCAAATTCCTTCTCCCTCCTCTGGCCGTCTTCTTGCAGGAGATGAACCTGCATTTCTAAGGCAGCCAGCCTGGTCTCACTTGACTGTGTAAAACTTGCACGCTCTTGTTTTTCTAGATCCAAGGAGATCTGTAGCTCTTCCACTTGACAGACTGTGTTATCTTTCTCCTTTTCCAGTTCCAAGTGTTTTCCTTCTAATTCTGCATGTTTTTTCTCCAGGTCCTCCAATCTCGGCTGAGTACTTTCCAACTGAGAAGCCAAATCATCTCTTTCAGTAAGAAGGGCAGACTTCTCATTGTCAAGAGATCGGCAGGATTCCTCTAAGCTCTTTGCCTTTGCCTTCAAACCTTCAAGTTCAATATTTGCATCAGAGAAAGAATTCTCTAATAAGGTGTTCTTCTCTTCAAGCTTCTTCATGCTCTCTACCATGATATCAACCTGGGAAATCAAACTGGCCTTCTCAGCAACAATAGAGGATTTTTCCCCCTCAAGCAAATGGCATACTTCTTCCAAAGCCTTGACTTTATCCCTTAGTCCTTCTAACTCAGCATTCACATCTGAGAGAGAATTCTCCAAAAGGGCATTTTTCTCCAAAACTTTTTCCATGTCTTCCAGCTTCTCCAAAAGAGCTACTCTCTCATCTTTGTCCTTCTGGCAGATTTCTTTCAGCCTTGAGTTCTCATCCTGCAAGTCCTTCACAGATGATCCAAGGCATTCTGGATTCAAACCAACTGATGTCACTTGTTCCATTATAACAAGGTACCGCTTGTTCAGGTCATTTATTTCCTCTTTCCGACAGTAAATCTCTTGCTGAAGTGCATTTCTTTGGTCCACACGGAGTTCAACCTCCTCTTCAAGTTTCCCTTTCATCTCCCTCAAGACAAAATTCTCCTCCTGCAGATTCTTTATTGACACAGCAGAAGATAGGTTCTGTTCTGTCAGGCTAGTATTTTCCTCCTTGGTTCGCCTGATTTCATCTTCTAAGCCCTTCTTCTGGAACTCCATGTCCTTTAACATTTGAACTGTATTTTGGAGATCCAATGTCATAGCCCTCTGTTCTTCCTGGGATCGAGCATGTAAATTCTGTAGAGTGTGGAGTGCAGCCTCAGCCTGCAGGAAATGCAAGTGCTCTTCTCTTATGCAGATCCGGAGTCTCTCCAACTCCTCATGCTTCTCCAAAAGTTCTTGGTTTTGCCTCCCGACCTTCTGCACTAAATTTTCCACTTCTAACTGCAGAGCTTGCTTTTCTGTCTTCAATATAACACATTGTTCTTCTACACTGTTCAACTTTGTGGCCTGCATCAACACCTCACTGTTAAGCCTCTTGGCCTCCTCTAGTGAATGTGATAGTTCAGTCTCCAGATTAGATATTTTCTCCAAGTACTGCTGGTACTGAAGAGCTGCAGCTTCCTTTTCTGCATATAATTCAGCAAGATCTTGCTTCAAGGCTTGAACTTTGTTTTCAGCATTCTCAGCTCGCTCAATATGCTTTCTGGCATCCTCCTCAGTATGAGATACTTTGATCTCCAGATTAGATATCGTCTCCATGGAGTCCTTATATTGATGAAGAGCTGATTCCTTTTCAGCTTCCAATTTAGTAAGGGCTTCCTTTAAGAATTGTACTTCAGTTTCAGATTTACTTGCCCGCTCATTTAGTCCCCTGGCTTCCTCTTCTGCATAAGTGATCTTGGTCTCAAGACTAGATATCCTATCCAAGCACTGCTGATACTGAAGAAGACTGGCTTCCTTTTCAGCCTCTAATTTTTCAAGGGCTTGCTGCAGGGTTTGAGCTTCAGATTCTGCTTTACTTGCTCGTTCATGGAGCTGTGTAGCATCATCTTGTGCATGAGAGACTTCGGCCTCCAAAATAGATAACTTCTCTAAATTCTGCTGATATTGAAGAAAGCCAGCTTCCTTTTCAGCTTCTAATTTTGCAAGCACCTCCTTAAGCTTTTGGACCTCAGTCTCAGCTTTATTTGCTCGCTCAGAATCAGAGATGGCCTGGTTCTTGAGATTCTGGTTCTCAGTTGATAATTGAGACACCTTCTCTTGCAGGATTCTTTCTTGCTCTTCTACCTCATGAAAATTTACGTCCTTTCTTGCTCTTCCTTCAGAAAGTTTGGTTTGGTTTGTTTCCACTTCTCCAGATGCAAACATCTCATTGAGCTGTTTCAATCCCCTTTTACTAGTGATTGAATCAGACTCTTCAGAATAGGCCCCATTCCTACTTATGGCATGGAAGTGAGGTGACGAGAGCCCCAAAGCATCATTGTGCAAATCATCAGGATCAAGCAATGCTCGTATTGGGTGTGGCATCTCAGGTGTGTGAGGCTCAGCCTCAGTGGTGGAAGGGCCTGCAGGTGAATCATCAACCAGCACAAAGGGAACTTGGTTAGGGAATGCTTCTGCCATGGTCCGTTGGGCCTGGCGGAGTGCCCCTGTTGCATGATCATATCTTTCTGCTAAAGCACGGTATGCTCGGTAAAATTCCTCAACCAGTTTCATAAGCTCTGGGCGTTTTTTGTAGTACATCTCTGCCCTCCTTGCAAATGAATCTGCATCTTCCTCGATGAGTTTGATCATTGCTTTGACTTTGGTATCCATATCTGGGAAATAAAATATACAACATTAATCAGTCAATGATGTAATACCATGACAGTTATATACCAGTCAGAAAGCACATAAAAAGGATCAGAAATAATACTACAGATACACAAGGTATAAACCGCACCATCTGATTTTTGCATTAACATGCAATGCATGAATCAAATAGAACATGTCATGACAATCAAAACAAGTCATGATGTAAAAGGAAATTCACACCAATGGCCCACTTATTCATCATTGTAAGTGGTCCAAGAATAACATAAAAGGACAGCCCAGTGTACGAGGCTCCCGCCAATGCGGGGTCTGGGGAGGGACAGATGTATGCAGCCTTACCCTTGCACATACAGAGAGGCTGTTTCCAAGATTTGAACCCTGGTCACCCGGGTCACAATGGAACAACCCAACCATTGCGCCAACGCCCACCCTCTGATCCAAGAATAACATGAACTAGATAAATCCAGTCCAATCCATCTGCCCCATACACCTGCTTTTATTTACTTTTTCTTTTCTGAAAAATTGCCATGACTCCATGAACAGATACAAAGTGAGCAATTGATCAAAATGGTTAGGATTTCGACTTAAGTAATTTTGAGCCATGTGGAATACAAAAGTGGAGCAGGCTTGATAGTTCAGACCAACGAGCATGTACTACATGGAATACAAGAGTTGAGTCATTTTTTGGGATCTTGTGATCCATCTTTTTGCCATTTCCCTGCTAGCACTTGTCAATAAGGAGCTTTGCTGAACCTTTCAGTATTAGCTCCTACCAGCAATCCAGTTTTTCAATTTGTCAATAGTCAGTATTTTATTTCATACACCAGCTCTGTGAATAGGAGATTAACAAACTGGAAGCTTTTCTATGCAACAGACCATGTTTCTTCCACATGGATATGATGTGGCACATACAAACTGTTCTCTAAGTAAGGGACACTCTGGATTAGCCACATGCTTAATTAATCACCAAGACCTTTTCTCATAAACACATGCTTTTCTACACAACAGACCATGTCAAAATTGCATGAAATCTACCAAAGCACACCAATTTGAAGCATTCTATAGTGTTTCATTTAGGGATAGTGCAGAGCAGGTAATAAATTGCCTGATTTTTGCTCTTTAAGGAGTTTTTTCAGGCCAAAGCACATGAACTTGTGTGCATTTCCTTTTTGTACAAAGTTGAATATTACCATAATGTCCATGCTTTACCATCAAAGCTGATACTATTGTAGTAAAACCCCATGTGAAGAATATCAAATTTACCACACCGACCTCTACTCTGTTGCATGGACACCCCCACCTTTGGAGGGAACTCACAAGTCGAGTCATGTCCCTGAGTCAACTCTTGTCTAACTCTCCAAAATGCATGCTAAACACTGCTACAGTGCGAATCAGGTGGAGTTACCAAAATGCCTGCAGTGTCTGACTCTCCAAATTACAAATCTTCACTTTAAACACATGTATTGATACTTGATAGTGGTCCAACCATTTAAATTGTTTAATAGGTTACTCTAGTATTTGTAACTTTCCAATTTATGCATGACTTATAATCCACTGTTTGTTGAATCATTTCCAATTAACATTGAAATTAGGATAACAATGAAAAATAATGTGCAATCACGTGACAAATAGGCAAAGGTCGTGACTTTAACTTGTCTATTATATTCAAGTTGTTATGCTTATATAGATCTATATATTTTAAAAATAATGTTAAAAATAATAATAATAATAATAACATTAATAATAATTGATCAATAATAATGATGATGATGATTATAGAAGCTCAGTTGAGATTTACACTCATATTGGGGTAAAAGAAATTTATTGAGAGAGAGAGAGAGAGTAGGTCACTCCTATGAGATTTTGAGATTTCTCTATCATCTACAACAGAAAGAAAACAGTAATTCTAAAAAAAAAAACACCTAATTTGACTCGGCTAAGAAACAAATCCATCAAATGTGTTAGAGATGTCAGTGGAATGATGGACTTAAACAGCATTCAGTTCTTTTTTTTTTTTAAATGTTTCGTGTATGTGAAGGCAATGATTTGCATTCCTTGGAAAAAGATATGCAAAACATGATAAGAAGTCAGCACCTCTTACAACAATTAAGTGAAAAGCAATTATTTTACAAAATTGAGCCCAAGGAGGACATCGAACAAGTGAATCAATATAGACAGTACAAATTAAGTATTATGTCCTCTCAACAGAAACACAAAGACACAAGTTGCACCTTCTACTCTGTTTTTTTTTTTTTTTGATAGGCACCTTCTACAATTGTCACACTACAAAATTCTACAAAGAAAATCAAATAAGAGAAAATAATACATTTTTAACCATCTAAGAATGAAACAGGAAATATAATCCTTCTTCTAAACGATGACTTCACTCTAGCACAATGCATTGTGGATAAAGTTCCACATGGAACCAAAATCCCATAACATAGTTTATATTTCAATTCAACCAGGTTGGGAGGCACTTTAGGTAGTTCTGTATTTCTTTTAATTTGTTTTCTGGAGCAAGAAATGTTAACTTGCTGGTCTTCACCTGAACTGAAATTTTGATATAAGCTCTATAAAAGATCAGATTGGATCCAGCCAGCATTTTTCACCACCATTACTGATCTGCATGGTGAAAATGTTCACACCTAATGCAACCTAAGATACTTCCATCATAGTGTAACTTCAGATGCCAAAGAACCATCAGGAACTTCCTACAGTGTTTCAAGAGAATCCAGAACCTCATGGCTGATGTGCTATCTTTCATTCCACACAACACAACAATTTCATACTAAACTAACAATGACGATACACTAATTTTTTTCTTAAGAAACCAGAAACACTAGAAGTGAGCAAGATGGATTTAATTTTTTCCAAAGAAAGATATAATACAGATCCCAATTCATCAACAAAGCAAATTTTGAAAAGAGAAAGCAATACCTGTTAGATTTTCTTGAAGCCATTTTGAATTCTTTGGGCTTATATGACTGTCCCACCACCAGGAATATAGGCGTCTTGATTCGGATTGTAACAAAGTTGTCATGACTCCAGCCAAAACCACTAATTCTACCTCTTCTGATCTCACAAAAGGCTGATCCTTGCACCGGTAATAAAAACCCAGGTAATGGATCCAAGCCGGAACTAGACCTGATTAGGTATGAAAATGCAAAATTTGACACTGGAAAAATAAGTTGAAGCCTTCAACTTACTACTTGTACCTACGCTGCAGAAATCTGCAAAAGAAGAGTGGTAAAATGAGATGAGTTACCGATGACTAAACAAAATCAGCTAATTAAGATCACATTAGAATAATTGGAACTTCATAAGCAAAGCGCCCAAAAACCATATGAGCAAAATACCATTCTTTTCTTGCAAAACCTTGTAAGCTACCTGATCAAAAACAAACTGCGAGATCTAAAACAAACAACAGTTGCAAAACCTTAAAAGCCAATACTGCACAGAAGTTAAAGCATACCAATAAGTTAAAAAGGCCTACTAAATCAAAAGCAAATCAGAATTACCTGATCACGCAAAACCCAGGAATAAAGATGCAAAGTTCTCTCTCGTCTAACTTGATCACCCGGCACGCAACAAAATTGGGAGAAACCCAAAAACAGAACCTTTACAGCCTAAAAACTGGGTAATCAAACAATTCCCACATCAGAAAACCAGAATGAATAACTCTAGAAGCAGGTACTTAGAAGAAAAGGATAAACTAAATTGATGGAACCATATTAGTCTAAGAGCTGAATCTAAAAGTAGAGGAACGTAAAAAAAAATTAAAAAAAAAAAAACATGGTTTTAAGCAGATGGTTCTGAAACAAAACATAGAGAGTTTGATTAGACATTTAAGATGAAGGAGATCAAGAACTGACCAGAAAATCCAAAACTGGTGTTGCTGTTTTGATCAGCAGCTGTGTTAAAAGACCGCAGCTGCTTTTCCTCTCATTCACCCCATTTTGCTAGATTCCTCTCTGCCTCATTATCACTCTGTCCCTCTCAGTTTTTGCTTTGTGCTTTTTATTCTGCGTCTTGTACCGTATGCAGACTGTAGAACAGTTGAACTGTCAAAAAGATAATAAAAAAAAGAAAAAAGAGACACAAAGAGCGAATAGTATTAGCGAAAAAAAGAAGATTTCCATTTTCTAAATTTATAATAGAGAAAAGAGACGAAAAAGGAAATAAATTTGAAATTCGTTTTTCTTACCGGCCGATCCGTAAATCGTCGAACTGAAGCTATGGGTTGCGCCGGTTCCGGTCTGACGGTACGAAAGTCGTTCTTTCTATAAAAGAAAAGGATTAATTATTTAACGGAAACAAAGCAATAAAACACTGAGTATTTGTCGGTAATAGCGTTGCATTTATAATCACACTTGCTCATGCACAAATTCCATTTGTGTTTGCATTGCGGTTGCGGGTGTGCTGTCTTTTGTCGTTGCTTCGCCTGTTGCCCCGGAAGATGTGCCCGTGAAGTAAGCTCTGAAATGACATAAATAGCCTTAGCTTAGCATCTCCATAATGTTCTTCTTTGGGTTTCTGTTTGTTTGACTTTTGACTACCACCTCAGCAACAGGCCAACAGCAAGCAACTTGTTGGGTAAATAACGGAGGGGTGCCCCGAGTCATCTGGGTGGTGGTTTAACCGGTTAAACCAGGAGAGTGTCTGGCCAAATTTTGCATATGGTCAATTTACTTTTTTTTTTTTCACGAACCAAATCAAATGTACTTTCATCTAACAGTATTTACGGCAGAAAAATCCAAATGGAAAACGAATTAGATGAAATAGTTTTATCTAATTATGGTGATTACATGTGGTCATTGTAAGGATTTTAGGAATGGGAGGTCCGTGGCTTTGGGGCCCACTGGACCAGATATTCAATTATAGGGTCCAGTAGGCCTTGGGCCCTTGTTTTTAACGGGCATCTTTGGGCCTAGTTCCGACCTCCTAATTGCTTGAAAATGCCACCTAACACCTATACAAGAGCAGAGGTTAGAGCTAGGGATAGGGTAGTTGTTAAATGCAAGGAAAGCAAGAGATGATGCTTGCTTGTATGCGTTTGCAAGGAAGCCTGGTTGGGATTGGGATTATGGTATATGTTTGGCATCGATGGAGAACCGTTAAAACGTTTTTTTTTTTGAAAACGTTTATGTAAGATAGGATATTTTTTCGAGCAATAGCATTGTTTCCTCTTTGATATTAATGCTTCAGGAAATGTTTTCAGCACTGGTATCTATTATCTAGTGTCATGCCCTGCCACCTTATGTCCTTGTTGGTAGAAACGAGCTGCAGTTCCAGGAAATGTTAAATTTGATATTGTTTCAAACCGCGCCTTTTCGATTTCTAAGACATAGTTTGGAATACCACTTTTTATGAAAAAAAACGATTCCAAACAAATAGGTATTTCCTGGAACACCATTTTTTCTAATGTAATGCTAATGTATCACCATTTTCTAGAATAACGGCAACAATGCCAACCCAACCCAATCTGAAACCTAACCCGAGTAATTATAGACGAAATGGCAAGATTGCCCCGACTTGTCCCATATATATGTGCAACTGTTCAAGCAAGCAAGTCTCTACATTATATATATAAGCATCTTAATGGTGCAATATCAATAGATTGGGTTTAATTAGCACGGGTCCACTCAACCCGGACCCAACCTGAAATCCGATCAATGCTGACTCAAGTCACTCAACCCTAACCCAATAGGGTCGGGTCAGTGTTGGTTTACCACTTAACCGACCAACTGCCATTCCTACTTATTTGCCTATTTTGCCCTCCACTAGGGCTATTTCTGTGTTGGTGGGGTGGTATGTGGTCACACAAACTGCCAGTAAACCCATCAAGATCATCAGTGACAGACAATTGAATTCAGTTAGCAATCTCTAACGAGTAAAGACAAAAGAAGAAGGGTTAGAGAACAAATGTAAATACTAAATATAATATAAAAGCCAGTCACACCCTGTTTGTTTTTATAAGCATATTTATATGTAGAAAACTAAAAGTAAAGATATAAAATTGCATTAAAATATTGATAAAACACTAATAATAATAATAATAATTAATTAATTAATTTAGGGCGATAAATAATATGGAAGAAAAGAACCTCTTTAGCCTGGTGGTGCCATGAGTGTAAAGGTAGTAACAATGTTGTTGACTTTCAACAGGGAAGAGAGGTTGCTTGGTTGGTAGAAAAAGGTTTCGCTTTTGATAACTTCTCACGCTCCTCCTCCCTTTCTTCTTCTGTCTGGTTATATACTTCTCTATATATAACTGGTTCATGCCACACGTTCAACTCGTGGGGACATTCTTGTAAAGTTATAATGAACTCACTCAACTTAGGGACCATCATTCATCATTCATCATCATCATCTATCATCCATCTAAGCCTAAAGTCTTACCCAATTAAATTAAGTAGATGGGGTTTGGCAACTGGGTTTCACCATTCCTTCTCTTCAATCTCATATTATAATGACTTTAGGGATAATTTAGTAATTTGGGTCTATAACGGATCTTGTGGTCCACTCGTTTTAAAGGTGGGCGGCGTCTGGGCGGTGGCGCCGCTCATCACTCGTCAGTCGTTTCTACTCTCTACAGCGAAGCAATTCGGAAGACAAACTGAATGGACGAGTGAATCACTCCATCACGTCCATTCACACCTTAGCCTATTAGTCCTATTAGTCCCCAGTCCTCTCCTATTTAATATTTATTAAATTAAATAAATTAGTTGTAGTTTTAATGTATAATTTTTAATTTATGAGCGAAGGATATAGAAGAGGATTGTGGATTGATCACGTGATTTGTTAATTATATATTTCCAAGCTGTATGTGGTTATCATGGGTGCTGTCGTGGTTTTAATGAGAATGACAATGACAATGGAATTATTAAGTTTGATGTTTGGCTATGAGCCCAGGGTTTCCCACCTAATTTTCTTTGTATTATTTTTCATTCTTCAATGAATTAAAAAAAAAAAAATTAAGTTTTCCAAAAGGAACGGTTTAGATGACATCATCTCTTTTGACTTTTTATGGCCGTCCAAAAGGTGGAATATGGCCCGCTAATTAGTCTGGCTCATTAATGCATGTCTCCCCCACCCCACATATACAATACAACCTACTAGGCTGATGTCCGAAGTTTTTAAGGTGATCAGTATGCTCTGCAGACAGTCCAGAAAGATCTACCTGTTATACTGTTATAAAAGTAAACCAACTATTCAATGCTCTCCCATAAACTATCTACCCAATACCAACTTTTTGAAAATCAAACCGGGCCGTCCGGTTGATTCAAGGGCAACCAGAAGTCGAGAACCATTCTCTTCTCATTCCAGGTCATTGAATGTATAAAAATTCAAAATCTTTTTTTTTTTTTTGTAAGGATGAAAAAATTTAGAATCTTGCGGGTGGAATTAGAAGATCAACTTTTCCATAATGATACAATTGAATCGAGCTTTAATCAAATAGTTTGGGTTTGAGTTTGATTAGGTTCGATTTGAGTTAGATTTTAATTAAATTCAAATTAAAACTTGATAAATAAAAAGTTTAAATTTAAATCAATTTCAATTTAGCTCATCAAGTATTTAATCCAATAGAGTTCGAACCGAAAAATAAAATTTGAACTCAAGCCCAAACCTAGAAGTATTATAATTGAATCAAATCAAGACGTATCAATGCCAGCTCAACTCGATTGGGCCCCTAGTTCCACTTCTCTAATAAATTGAGATCATCATCACCAATCTTATTCTTCTTCTTTTCTTCTAAATCTAACTCCAACTATATGGGGTAAGCTACATAAATCATATGAATCATGTTAAATTATAAGCATTTAAATCATTTCTTCTTGCTTCAATTATATTCTTTTTTTAACCTGTCTTTTAGTCTTTTTAACCCCTTCAACTTATAACAATTTGTTTTTCTTACAAATGTTATAGATGATTTTCTATGCGTATCACTAAACCATCTTTAATCTATTTCATTATAATTTATCAGGGCTATTCCTAATTCCTTGGAATAACTAAAAAGGTTTTTAGCGACCTCATAGCTGGATCTTACATTTTACGAGCAACGCTCAAAATATTGATATGTCCGTTATATTGGTAAAGATGTATTGGGTGATATCAATATTTTTTTTGTTATTTTTTTTTTCAAAACTAATTCAAGAGAAACCAATTTAAGGCTCCTCAGAACCCCGATACACCCTCTGTAGGAATGTATTATAAAGCTCCCATAATGAATGCATATCTACCAATACAAGCCCATACATACAAATGCTTTGAACCTTGATTATGAGTTTTTCTTTTTTCTCCTTCTAATCTGATATGGAGGAGAGAAAAAACCCAAACTCAAAAGATGTATGGTAAATTGGTAATCCAACCACAGCCACATTTGGCTACATGATTTGGCAGTTCCAGTTCATGGGTGTATGGTATATTGGTAATCCAACCAATCTAGCTGTCTATACCCCTTTATGTCATATAAATCAAATAATTAATTGCGACCTATCATAGGTCATAGCAATCAATCGACGCTCACACTTGTATTGATTGGACCCTTTTGACCGTTAATCCAGTTCTCCTTTGGATGGGTTTGTGGCTACATTTACTATGGAAAGCCACACACATGTCATGTGTTGGGCCATAAGGGTTTTCTTGATGCCATGAGAGATGCATGCATGGCCCGGATTTAAAGTTGGGTTAATACTGTTAACAAAGCCCAATTTGTTATGATAAATAAATCTATTAATTAAATCCAAATTTGCTAAATAGAGTTTAGAGTGTAAAGGAGCTCTGATCTTATTGGCTCCATTATTTGCCATAACAGAGAACCAAGTAGGCAAGAACCACTTGGCACATTGAAGAGAAATTGTACATCAAAATTTGTTAGACAGAGAGACAGACTGAAAGTGGGGGGAAGCTATTTTTTGGACTTTCTTATGGAAAACGACATTTGAAGTAGAATTATTGAAGAAAAGTAGGATAAGGAGCCGTAGAGTTCTTGGTTGGATTGTTTGGTAGAATAGCTTATGACTCTAGGGTGTGATGCTGATCATGGAGTTTGGAAATAATGGGTGGTTCAATCAACAGCCGTTCAGGTATAAAATTGTAATTAGATAAGGCCAGAGAATTTGGAGGCCTTTGATTAACAAACAATAAAAAGGTAACAAATGAAATAGGTCACAGATGTGAGTTTTGAGTTTTGTTTTGCACTGGAACATGTGAAAAACAAAAAGATATCTTAGAGATGTTGTAATAATCAATAAAACCATGGGCTTAAAAAATT